CAGGGAGATTGATTCAAAAGTCAAGTCAAGTCAAAGTTATTTATATAGCACCTTTTACAACAGATGTTGTCACAAAGCAGCTTTATAGAGAATCCGGGTCCACGTCCCCACTGAGCAAGCCTTGGTGACAGTGGAAAGAAAAACTCCCTCAACAGGAGGAAGAAACCTTGAGAGGAACCAGGCTCAAAAAGAGAACCCAACCTCCTCTGGTTGACACCGGATAACAGCACAGACACAAAACAGTATAAGCGGATGCAGTTTTACACCTCACACTTCAAAAGAGGCCTTGAATATTCTGTTGTAACTCTTGTTAGGATGAAGCAATCTGAACCAAAAAAATATCTTGACGTTTGTGTAATCGATTGCATTACATGCAATGATGGAAGTGGTCTCTGTTTTCTGCCAGAGACATGAAGGGGTATGGGGGTACGCACCCGGAAGTTGCAAACGGAGGTTAAACATGGCTACAGCTGTCCAGAGCCCACCTCATCGCTCTGATGCAGGGGCATCCTGGCTTGTTCGAAGCTCCATATACTGAGGAGCACAATGCACATTGTTTTGTTCCGTTTGCTTCAACCTAGCGAGAGTTATTACAGAATATTCGGGGCCTCTTTCGAGTGAATCTCCCTGTAGAAGAACAATGTCGGACAAGGGACCTTTAGTAGTTTCCCCAATATCACATGGTACATGATGTGAATTCTTCAAGGACTTCTGTGTCTTTCCTTTCCATCACAAATATGAGTGGATCACTCGAGGATCATTGAGTAATCATTTAATATGTATTGAATAAAAACATTTTGTAATGTTTTATGGATATTCAATACCAAAAATACAATGTACTGGGCAGTGTTAGACTTTTGTGTGGATCTAAAATGTCAACTGTGTTTACTGTCAACTCGGTAAAGTAACTCTAAAATGGTGCCCAGCTCCCCATGTAGGACACTATGGGTCATGAAATAAGAACATCCACATTCAAATAATACATTATATGTCTATTACAAACCCATTTGGGATTCAGCCATAGCATCAGCATTCAGTGCAGTATTTGTATGAAATATATTTTTAGCACTGTCTTACTGCATAGGTGACATGGTTAAAATACAATGCAGAACACAGAAGTCAGTACCACTCATTCAGCTCATGTATATTTAAAGTACATTTTTATCCTCTGTTAAAACTACATACAATTAAAAAAGTAGAACAAATACAAATAAATGCTTTAAAAAATATATTTGACAAAATGTTTTGTCCATTGTTATATATTGCACAAAAATACATTGATAAATACATATGGAATATATTTTTTCCATAAGGGAAGGTTATATGGGTGACTTGAAGATATGTCCTCTCTGTCTTTGCCCTGCCTTTGACCCCACAGAGACACCATTGCCAAATGTTCTGGACATTGTTCACTTGGTTCCAAATGCTCTCAGACACTGGAAAGGTCCCTGTACCCCACTGCCAGAGCTCATCGTGCAAGCACAGGACAAGAAAGGGTCCTGTCTGGGTCTATGAACCTCAACAAGTGCACTGCTGCCATCTGCTGAGCAAATGATGGTATTGTACCTACACTTTGAAATGCAAAGTCTATTACTTTTGACTGAGTGGAAAAATAAATTATTAAGCCATTCTTGCACTCTCTGCCTTTCATTTCATGTTCCACAGGACTCTGACAGCTTATGCAGCTGATAACCATCTGAGACCTACAGCCAGATCCAAAATCATAAACAATAAACACTCACCATGAGCTCAGAGGACTGGATTTTCAGCACTGAAGATACATTCACAGCATTTTACTTACAGCTAGATCACTTTACAGAGGAGGCGAAGGTACTGTTAGGTGTTTCACTCAGGGCCTCTTATTAGTATTGTATATGGTACTTGCCCAGGTCAGAGAGTGAACTCCATTCTGCAGCACGGGCAGAGATGTTACCCATTCCTGTAAACCAAACACCTGTAATGATGCAGGAGAAAAGCTGAGAGAGATGGACTTTCTACATTTCTGGAGAAACAGACAACGTAACTCTTTTTCTCTGTGTTTTCATTTTCAGCTTTGGAGGGTCTCTTACTTTTTAGGTTTCTGACTTAATGTAATGTAAATTTAATGTAACTTTTGTTGCTGTGCCTTTAAGGCAGATATATGCAATTGATCCCTGTTCTGATTGGCTGCCCTGTATTGTCCCTCTTTCAAAAAGCAGTCCAAGCTAAACGCTCTTTATGATGTCATTGTGAACAGACAGGCTAAAACTGTCTGAAACTTCAGTATTTCTTGTTATGGTATAACGGTGCCAAATGAATCCATCATTTCATTCTCCATCTGTACATGTTTAAGAAACAAAAACATTTTTACAAAAACAGCCAAATATGTGCTTATAAAATTGAGCAAGGGGTTAATTCAGGCAGGCTCAGAAGTCACCAGCTTCTAGCTGATCGCCTCCTACACATACAATTGGCTACATTTGTCAGGGCGTTTATTTAAGCTGCCCATTCTCACGCTTCCTCTGCGGGCCACTTTGTAATCCACCTCCATCATGCTGTGTCTGACTTACTCAATGTCATGTTGTAATGCCTGCTTTGTTCTGTTCCCTAAGGGGGTCTTTCTGCTGCTCTCCCTGCCTTAGGCTTCCATGTATGCACATAGAAGGACAGGGAGGTCCCAGAATAGAGCCATAGCACCAAATACAACTGCAAATGGAAACAAAATATTTTCTTTGATGAAGTGCTCCTGACTGAAATTACTTTTATTGGATCTATATTATTGTATGACAAACACTAAAAAAAAGTATTCAACCACAATTTTTACCCCACAAATACATCCCACCCACACCTTGATGTAAGATGCTCCAGTATTGTAGGATGGTCATAAAGTTTAAGTTAGTTATCTACTAACTGCTCTTATTTTATTATTTTTATTATTATTTTTGTCACGATACTTTCAGTTTTTTGTACTTTTTTGCCTTATTTAAATCTGAATTTTCATTTTTTTTATTATTGTTGCTGTTAACAGATGCACGTGTCTGGAAAGGAGAAAAGCTAAATATTGTCAATTTCACACTATGTGACAGTGATGACTTTTTGGTCTAATAATTATTACAGTTTTTCCCTTACTGCCCATCCATCATTGGTTGTTATACACCAAGTAGAGAAGACCTCAAACCAGAATGTACATAGAAAAACTGTACAATTTAATAGTAAACTTCCTTTCCAGAATTACACAAACATAAAAATAGACATGAAGAAGATAATGGATAAAAATACTAGATGAAATGCTAGCAACAATAAAAAAAGTAGAGAAATTATATCAACAGGTCAACATATTTGAAAAAATATATCTCAGACAACATAGCAAAATGTATCGTAATGTAATATAAAGGAGATCGGGCTGGTTCACAAACATAACTAAGCATAATCTCACTAGTTAAATTCAACAAAATTATGTCCACGTGGGTCCCTCATGTGCATCTGATTGGCAATCAGGGGCTACAAAATCACCGATCACATAGACCCACAGTGATGGAAGTACCCAGTGTCAGGTGTAGACTGTGGAAGGACATACCACAGGCCTCATAGAGGCACAAAACCCAAAGACATATATCACATGCTAAGAATATATTTATAAGAAATATGCTCTATATTATAAATATACCAGTTAGATTACAGTAGATAATCTATAACTCTTCACAAGGCAGGTATGTTTCAGACATAGATTAAACTGTGCTGGAATGAACTGCAGTGCCAACAGCATTCAGGCTTAGGCTTAATCTGGGTAAGTAACGTAGAAAACAGGCTTACATTGTTCCGATAGCTTCTCAAATCAGTAAACAGCTGTAATTACTGTCTGACAAGGGTTAGTTTTTATCAAAGACATTACACTTTTGAGACCAATATGGTCATTAAGCAGCTGATAAGACAGCAAAGGTACAAAAGAGACGTTAATACAGTTACAAATGTCACATTTCTTTATATATACAAGCAGTAATCAATGTTATTGTAAAACCACACTGAGGTAAATCATTTCAGTAAAATACAAAATCTGATGAAGTGAATACGGTAGATCTGGAGTTTAGCAGTTATGAAAAGAGTAATGCTAGAATTTTACACAGCACTGTTTAAATTACTGTCATGCAGTTTGGTACCCAACAGCATCACAAAGCATGACATTCAATTCAACACAAAGAAATGTACATCAAATGGAAGTGAAACAGTAGTAAACTGGTAAAGCGATAAAGTCTAAACCAGTAACACATAATAAACATTTTGGTCCAATGGTTATAGAGCAGTGTTTCATAAAAGGTGATAAACTAAACAATCCTTATGATTATATGAACTACACTATATGGACTAAAGTGTTGGGACACCCCTCCTAATTACTGAGTTCAAGTTTTTCAGCCACACCCAATAGCTAACAGGTGGATAGAATTAAGCACATAGCCATGCAGTCTCGATAGACAAACACTGGCAGTAGAATGAGTCGTAAAGATGAGCTCACTGACTTTCAACATGGCACTATCATAGGATGCCAACTCTGCAACAAGTCAGTTCTGTGGAGTGACGAATCAAGCTTCTCTATCTTGCAGTCTGGTGGACAAGTCTGGATTTGGCGAATGCCAGGAGAACATTACCTTTCTGACTGCCAAGTGTAAAGTTTGGTGGAGGAGGGATAATGCTATGGGGTTGTTTTTCAGGGGTTGGTCTAGGCCCCTTAGTTCCAGTGAAGGGAAATGCTTCACTCCAAGACATTTTGGACAACTGTATGCTTCCAACTTTGTGGGAACAGTTTGGGGAAGGCCCTTTTCTGTTCCAGCATGACCGAGCCCCAGTGCACAAAGCAAAGGCATGGTTGGGTGAATTTGGTGAACCTGACTGGCCTGCACAGAGCCCTGACCTCAACACCATCGAACACCTTTGGGGTGAACTAGAATGGAGATTGCGAGCCAGGCCCTCTCAGCCAACATCAGTGTCTGACCTCTTCTGGATGAATGGTCAAAACTTCAATTCAACACACTGACACACTCCAAAATCCTGTAGAAAGCTTCCCAGAAGAGGGGAAGCAGTTATAACTGCAAAGGAGGGACCAACTCTATAATAATGCCTATGGATTTAGAATAGGATGTAGTAAAAGCTCCTGTAGGTGTAATGTGTAGGTGTCCCAGTACTTTCATCCATATAGTGTATATTTGTTTTTTTTCATTGTAATATCACTTTGAAAGCTGTACTGATAATTAGAGGAGTATCTGCCCTTATTTGATATGGTGAGTCTTTTGGAGAGATTGGTGCTCGATGCAGTAGTTCTACTCAGGTTCTATTGCCTGTGCCGTAGATTGGATTTCTGCAAAAAAGTATCATTGAGGATATTAGCCAGAAAAAGTACTGACCGTAACAATTTGGCATGTAAAACGGAGCTTTACTTGACAAATTTCACATACTTCCTAATTCTTTGTGGTCAGGAAGAAGTGCTAGCCATGTTCTAAAATGTGCATTTCTGTTTTTGGTATGCTGAGAAAACTGATTTCTGCTTTCAAAAGCACTGACTGCTCAGAAAAACAGTTACACAGAATCATGTGTTGAGTCATGACACTCAAACAATCCTCTGAATGTATTATAGTACATAGTTATAAATTAGAACTTTTGTTGTTTTAGTAAGACCCATGACATGTCTCGAAAATAACTGTGGTCACTTAAATAACTGTAAACAGCTTCAATAACTGCAATCAGACTAAAGTGCTATAAAAAGTCACTTGAATTGAATTGAATCAACTAGTGTTAAAAAGAACAGCAATATATTTCCTATTACGTTATACATCTCTGTCTCGCATAATGAAATTATTTGCAGTGGTTTTCAGACTGGACATCTCCGTGCTTGCTTGTTTATACAATGGTTTTTGAAGACAGTGTTTCTAGTTGACAGATCTGTTCTGTCAGACAGTCTTCAGGGTTAGTGTTTGTGTTTAGAATATAGCAGAGAGTAGTACCATTTTAATGAAATGTGTAATGAAGTTGTAAAAAAAACAGTAACAGAAGTTACAGGTACTGTACCTTCTGTTATAAGTGCAGCTGCTGTTTATCTGTGGTCAAGAAGATGCTAAAATTGAGGTGTGTGTGTGTGTGTGTGTGTGTGTGTGTGTGTGTGTGCACGCAAGTGTGAGAGTGATCAGTCATATGCATCACCTACCGAATAGCTCTTGGTTTAGAAAGGGTTACTGTGGCATACTGTACATCCTCATCTTGTTTAAGAGCATTTGGCAGTTGGACAGTGGAGTAAAGAGGGGGAGAGCGTGTGAAACGAACAGTGGTGTAGTTAAGTTCAACCTCATCATCTGACGCTGCTGTTCTTGTGGGAGCAGAAGTCATGAGCATGGCTGAGACGTTATCATACACTGGAGCACATTCATCCTAAGAGAGAGAAACAGAGATAAATATGGAGATTACGATGCGCAGACCTAAATACAAACAAAGGAATTATCTACACAGCCCTTGCTGTGGCAGACTCAGGCTGTTTAAAGGGCGGGGCAAAAAAATTAAAAGGGCACCTACTGAACAACATGGAGCCACACCAGCATGCAAAATGCTATGATGCACCATTTATGATAAGATTCACTAGGGGATGCTCAAACAACTTTTTTCATGTGAGGGGCAGCCAATAGGGCCATTTCTCTCATATTTGCTAGTCTACAGGGCACCTTAGCGAGGCTTTTCAACAATGGGGGCACCAAGGGGCTGGTCCCCCTTGCTCCTCAGAGTCCATCAGTGATGAGACCCATTAAGGACTTTAAAGTGGGATGAAATGACATTTATCCATTAGTAAAACTTACCCTTCCACTCTTCTCCTCACCCCTCTTGCTGGCAGGTGCTGCTCGTCTCCTGTCAGAGTTTTTGTGCAGAAAGGTTACCAGCTTCATAACCACAATTCCAGAATTTTTTTTTTTTTTTACTGTGTGACAATATAGTGTAGATTAAAGGGAAAATTGACTGTGTGAAGAGTTTACATGCAGTATTCAGAGCATATGTAATATATTACATGTGGATTAAGCTTCTCACCTCATCCACAAAAAGGCAGCAATGAACGTCAGCAGGAAAATCACAGTGACTGAAGAAGCTGCATATTTTGCAGATGTGTTACCTGTATTTGTGAAAAGATATAAAATATCAAGTATTTTTTATGATGTGTTATAGAAGTCTTGGCCAGCCTTTCTGTTTTTGACTAAAGCACTAGCAAGAAGGCCATTAATTAGATCCATAACATACCTGATATAAATGACGACACAGATGAGTTGTATGACCCATACTGATTCATTGCCATGCAGTAAAGAGGTCCATGTGCTCTTGTGGCTAAAGTTAAATTGGTGCTGTTTCCAATGAGTTGGATGTCACTTCCTGTTTTCTTGTACCAGAAGTAAGAGCTGGCAGGATTGGAGTCACTGACACAGACAAGTGTGATTGAGCTGCCAGAGACATGTTCAGATACAGATGGTGGTCTGGGAGGGTCTAAGCAAAACAGACTCAGCCAGTCATTTAGTTTATCACACTTACTAAAAAACAGAACAAACTACACTTACATAGCACATCCAGATGGGTGGGTGTTGAGCTGTGCTGTCCTAGCTGGTTGTGAGCGGTGCAGTAGTAGAGTCCACTGTGCTGGGAGCTGATGTTGGTGATGGTGTAATTCTGGCCTGTTGTCAGTGGTGCGTCTGCAGCTGCTGTCTGCTTAAACCAGGAGTAGATGAGAACAGGAGGGTCTGCATCACTGCTGCAGCTCAGAGTCACTGAATCTCCCTCCACTCTCTCTCCAGAGGAAATAACTACTGCTCTGGTGTTTCTAGGGGAATCTGAAAATAGACACAGACATGGAAAGAGCTCTTTCTTCATGGGTGTGCTAAGAATGTCACATGCAGCCCTATAAAGATACTTGGAATCGTTATGTCCTTGTAATATATGTTATAGACATTTTGGGAAGAAAGGCTATCCACAGCCAAATGAGAGGTGCATGGAACTGAGGTAGCTCAAGGTGAGATGCTGGTATTTCTGTAAACCACAAAACCACACATAAACTTAAGGTGACTAGCTGATCATGTATGATTTCACCAGCAGTCACAAATAAAATCTGCAGTAAGCACACTGGGTCATTGAATAATGTCTTGATAATCATAGACTTAAGGACATTAGTATCTCCTCAATTACCTGATGTACAAAAGGAGAGTAAGAGAGAAAAAATCTTACAATACTCAACTCAAGACAGTGTTTATGGGTTCTTTCAGTCATAGATATACTTTATCAAATGTGTACAAAAAAGTTCCTCCGTTTGGCCTGTGCTGGTCTTTCAGTGTTTACTCTCCTTAGTGTCCTGATCAGAGTAGATTGGGTAATTTCCTAATCATTATCAGATGCCTCATGATCTTTGAATGTTCATATCAAAGTGTCAGACCATTTTCACAGCTGATATATATATATATATATCTTATTGGCATTTCTAATATGACTCCACTGCTTACTTGCCTTTTTCCTATGACATTTGTCAACCTTCTGTATGTTTGATGGCACTGTGATCTAAACAGCACATTTAAAGCTAGGAGAGTTTTTTCTTTTAAAAAAGTTAAAAAAAGATTTTTTCAATATTCACATCTCATATCAAATTGATTTTACTCTAGATAAAATTCAGCTGGATATTAACACCATGGCTGACCTAGTGTCTTTGAGACACCAGCCATTTTAAGTCACCGTTGTTCTGTTGCTTTAAAGGCACTTACATAACACGTCCAGGTGGGTGGGAGTGGAGCTGTGCTCTCCTAGCTGGTTGTGAGCGGTGCAGTAGTAGAGTCCACTGTGCTGGGAGCTGATGTTGGTGATGGTGTAATTCTGGCCTGTTGTCAGTGGTGCGTCTGCAGCTGCTCTCTGCTTAAACCAGGAGTAGATGAGAACAGGAGGGTTTGCATCACTGCTGCAGCTCAGAGTCACTGAATCTCCCTCCACTCTCTCTCCAGAGGAAACAATCACTGCTCTGGTGTTTCTAGGAGAGTCTGATTGGAAAGAAATATTCCAATGTTACATACCAGCACTGAGGTATTATAGTGCAAACATACTGTCCCTGTTGAAAAAAAAAAACTCATGTCTCCAAAATGGTAACTTTACAGGAGAAAAACTTGATTAAGTTTGAATGGAAGTTAAAAGAACAAGTACATTTGGAACATTTATTTTACTCTATTCATCATGAAAATTTAACATATTGTAAACAGTAGCTTGCATTTTCAAGTTATGTAAAAACACAACAAAAGTACAGATTAAAGAGCTTGTTCCAACAGTGACAATAATTTTCTTTTCTGTAAATTGTCTGAAGATTTTGCTAAAGAGCTATCCAAATAATTACTAATTAATATTAACCTTTTTATGTGTTAACTCAATCATCATCTTATAAGATAATGAAATGTAGATGACTGTGGATTATCTATGCATGCAAAATATCCCACTCACACACTGGAGGAGAGAGAAGGCTCTCATAGCCTTGAACAGCACAGCTGTAGCTGACCTCACCACTGACCACAGCTACAGAGCAGGAGGCAGATTTGCAGTGAAACACAGGCTGTCTGTTCTTGTACCAGATGTAAGTGGGTTTGTTAGGCAGAGTGCAGGTGCCGCTACACATCAGTGTTACTCTCTGTTCCTCTGACACTGTGATTGCAACAGGTTCCACTTTCACCTGCAGGCCTATGAGAGACCCCAAATAGCTCTTTAGAGCTCAAGCACAGACAGTAAACACTGAGACACAAGCAGAAACAGAACACATTTCTTCTACCTGTGACAGAGAGAGACACACCGGCAGAGCTGTCTATGCCATACCAGAGGTGGGCTTTAAATCGGAGGAGATATTTTGCTGAGTCGCTCTCTGTGAGATGTTTCAGTCTCAGTGTGTTCATATTAGCTTTGTCACTGAAAAACTCTACTCGGCCCTCTGCAGGACTCAGCTCTGTGTCCTGTCTAAGAATTCGGATGTACCAGGCAGGCTGGGGGTCAGGCAGCTGATGAGGGAATGTGTAGTAACCATGGATGTCCACTGATGAGCCAGTCAGTGCACAGATAGTCTGGGTGAAGTAAGACACACTCCAGCAGCTGTTCCAATTATAAACACCTGAAATACAAAAACTCAGTGAAAGCACTTGAAGAATACAAACTGAAAACAGAAGAGCTGCAAAACCAAATTGAATAACAAATACCTAATATATGCACAACATAGAAACCAAATTATAGCAAATACACTGTAGCATCTGTATCTCTCAGCCATATGTAATTGAATACTGGTTTAGTGTAATCAAATAGCAGCTGAGATAATGATGATGAATGAAGTTTAAAGAGATGTTCTTACAGATAGCAGGAGAGCGGAGCTCCTCATGTCCTTTTACAGCGCAGGAATAGCTGCCTGCATTCATAGGACTGACAGACAAGTACAGCCAACTGCTGTGCATGTAAGGCACAGCTACAGGCTGTCCATTCCTGTACCAGATGTAAGTGGGGTTGTTGGGCAGAGTGCAGGTGCTGCTACAGATCAGTGTCTGTTCCTCTGACATTGTGACTGCAACAGGTTCCACTTTCACCTGCAGGCCTGTAAGAGACCCCTGTCAGTGTCTTCAGAGCTCCAACATAGACAGTAAACACTGTCACAAGCAAAATCAGAACACACTTCTCCTACCTGTGACAGAGAGAGAGACTGCAGGAGAGCTGTGTGTGTGATACCAGTAGGGGGATTTAAATCGGAGAAGATATTCTGCTGAGTCACTCTCTGTGAGGTGTTTCAGTCTCAGTGTGTTCATGTTAGCTCTGTCACTGAAAAACTCTACTCGGCCATCTGCAGAACTCAGCTCTTTTTCTTGTAGGAGGAGTTTGATGTACCAGGCAAGCTGGGGGTCAGGCAGCTGATCAGAGAAGGTGTAGTAACCGTGGATATCCACTGATGAGCCAATCAGAGCACAGATAGTCTGTGTGGAGTAAGACACACTCCAGCAGCTGTTCTGATCAAAAACACCTGAAACACAAAAACTCACAAGCATCTGGTACATACAAACTGAAAATCAGGAAGAATGCTATATAGAAACAAGATTACAGCAGAAAATCCTAAAACACAAAGTCAGTAATAGAAAAGCTGCAAAGCACATGAACCAAATTCAAGGAAAAACACACCATATATCTGCAACGCATAAATCATGGGTAGCTGAATATAGATTTATTGTAATCAATTCTCTTGAGGCTTGTATGTAAATGATGATAAGAGAAGTTTAAAGTAAGTTCTTACAGACAGCAGGAGAGTGAAGCTCCTCATGTCCTCTTACAGCGCAGGAGTAGCTGCCTGCATCCATAGAACTAACATACAGGTACAGCCCATTACTGTACCAGTTATCTATAGGCTTTCCATTCCTGTACCAGATGTAAGTGGGTTTGTTCGGCAGAGTGCAAGTGCTGCTACACATCAGTTGTTTTCCCATATGTGTATTTGACACTGTAACCTGCAGACCTGCAGATGATGATTTAAAAACAAAGGGATATTTTCATCTCTGGAATATTCTTGTGGTTAATTAAACCTATATAATGTTATACAGCACTACCTGTGACAGACAAAGTCACTCCAGCTTTTCCTGTGTATTGGCTTCCATCAGTGTAGAATCTGAATCTGTAAGTTTGAGTGTCACTCTCTCTCAGGTGAGTGATTCTCATACTACAGTCATTCTGGACGCTCTGTCTGTACTGCACTCGTCCCTGATACTTTGCATCCTTTTGTAGATCCACAGGCTCAGCACCAGCCTGCTCTTTAATGAACCACACTGATTTAGTCACTGTGTGTCCTCCAGGGTTGTAGGAGCAGGAGAGATCAACTGATGATCCTTTCAGAGCACACACACGTTCAGGAGTGTAAGTCACACCCCAGCAGTCTCCCAGAACACCTGCAACACACACTTACAATCAGAAAAAAGAATTCAAGGGATTTCCAGTGATGAAAATATTATAATTTATCTGACCATTCATAGAAAAGCTGAATATTTGGACATTAACAAAAATTATTGTTATTTTATCTGTCTTCTACAACATATTGGAGTTGAAATTAAATAATGAATATATTCTCAAAGTGTAGATTTTTATCTTTATTTTAAGGGCATTTACATCCCAGTCAGTTGTACGTTGTAGGAAATACAACCACATTTATACACAGCCCATCTGATTTTTTTTGGGCTCAAATGTAATTGGACAAACTAACAATCAAAAAAATGAAATCATTATTTTTAATATTTGGTTGCAAATCCTGAAGTCAATGACTGCCTAAAGTCTGGAGCCCATAGACATCAGCAGATGCTGTTTTTTCCCTGGTGATGCTCTGCTGAGCCTTTAGTGCAGATGTCTTCAGTTCCTGCTTGTTCTTGAGGTGTTTTACCTTCAGTTTAGCCCTCACTAAGTGAAATGCATCCAATGTGTTTTGAAGCATTTGGCTGAATCTGAGCAGATAATACAGAATAATCCTATGCACTTTAGAATTCATCCTGCTGTTTTTGTCTGCAGTTACACCATCAATAAATACAAGGGAACCAAGCACACTGGCAGTCATACATGCCCATGTAGGGCTAGGCGATAAAACGATAACAATAATTATCGAGGCAACTTTCCTCGATATAGATATAAGAAATGTTCGATACAATAGACCATTCTCACACTTCCGCATTCTTGCGACAGCCCTGATGGTCTTTTCTACTGTGAGGAAAGTGACACTACTCTGCTGTCACCACAAGAGGGCGCACTTCAAAGTTTTTCAGCATGCTTAGAGAGGGAGGGAGTGACAAGTAAAATGAGTTTCCAAATATACTTTGGCAATGTTTGAAACATAGGGTTTTATGTTCCCGGTTCGAGTGGAACATTTGGCGATCTGTTTTGTGAACAAGAGTGAGTGACGAGATAAGTGGCATAACTGTATTAGCCTGGAGTGAACTCACTTCTCTCCTAACATCCTAACAAGCTTTAACAGCATTAAATCACATCTGCTCCTCACAACTACAGAGCTAAACAGTCATATTTTTGTATAAGTGCATTCCCAAACAACAAAAGTTGGGTTCATCCAAGTTACAGCCCTGATTTAAACGATAGTAAACTGAAGATCTGGTATGTGTGGCATTGGAGAGTGGGAGAATGCTAGCTTCCCAGGCTAGCTGTTTTTAGAGCTGGCTCACTTGAAGCAGCACTCTGTCACTCGAACAGCTCGGTGAATTGATGTTAATGTAGATCAAACAAGACTAACAAACTACTAAAACAGCGTAGAGAAACCCAAATGTCTGCTAGCTTGTGTTTGAATATTGTGATTCATCATTGATGTACCAAGCCAGCTAATGTTTGCTGTTCGTACTAAGCTGATGTTGGTGAGAAACTAAACAGTTTAGTATTTGCAACCAGGTTGCCTAGCACTCGTCACCAGGCAGCTAAAAATAATCTGTTTTCCCTTAAAATTATGAACATTATTATATGAATATAAAAATCATGCCCATGCTGCGCCAGCTGATAAAAACAGCTATCTTTCTTTCACTATCCCATGACAAATTTGTGAAATGTTCTACTGTTTGGCAAGTGTTTGTCATGTTCTGACCAAAAAGGATAGTTTGAAATAATGATTATCCACTCAGGAGCAAAAATTAGCCTTTAAACTTGAAATAAATAATGATTTGATAGTTATCATGATAACATTTTTGGCCATATCACCCAGCACTGTGCCCATGTATGCTATGTATGAAAATGGTTCTAATTCCCTTCACCTGATTTGGATATAAGTACCCATAATGTAAAACTGAAAGTCTGCAATTTGTGCTCATAATAATTGTTTAATTAAGTATTGAACTAGATATGCTGTAGTAGACAGCTAAAAAACAACAATAACTTTGTTGACCTTCATATATTTATGGATTTGACTATGTATGTATTGGATTTGTTCATAATATTTTTAAAATGGAATTATTACACCCCATTTCTAGAAAACTTATAGAAACATATTTAAAAAGCCAAAAAAACAAAACAAAAAATCTGCAGCACTATATAAAGATGTAGAAGATCAAAAAGTCTTTCTGTGCATGCCATATTTGCATACCAAATACACACTAATAAGGCACAGAGAAAAATGTTTCCATGATCATAACATGCTGACTTTGCATATGTAGAAACAATCAGAGTGAGGATGTAGTTCAGTAACTACATTTGAAGAGTCTGAATAAAAATCTTACTGCGATAAATGAGTGTAATATGAAGTGGAGCAGGTTTAGCTACCTGCAAACTCATCAACTCATGGCATGTTTTTAATGAAGGTATGCACACCTGTGCCGATGCTCCACCATATCACTCCATCACAGCACGCCACTCAGCATTTTTCCATTATTCCATTATTACAATTAAAGCCATATTGTAGGCCACGTGTGTCTTGAAATTTACACAGAGAAAGCAGCCTGTCTTTTAGATGAATGCTAATGGTAAGTTACCTCAGCTAACATTAATATCTTAGCCATTTTCAGCTCAAAAGCAGCCAGTTTGTGAAGAGGCAGTAAACTGATGCCAAGCATGATAAGTGATGCAGAACATTATATTCAATTCAACTTATATGAGAAGAACGTAAAAATTAACATGAACCTATCAGCTCTTCCTGCAGGTGCCAGAATGTAACTGCTGCACCAGTTAAGGTGGAACAGGAAAATTCAAACAAGAAGCTGGCAAATAAGAAACCAACTTCATCTTCGTAGTTTTAATGCTACTAGTGTTTTTTTTTTCTTTAATAAGGAAATATAAGCCACCTAAACATCATCATTTTTTTTAGTTTTTTAAATGTGATTCAGATTGATGCTGAGGGATTGGAACTTACACACTGGGTCTGAGCGGTGCCACATACTGCCATCAGACACCTCACAGTAGTAGCTGCCCCCTTCAGTCAGGCTCTTTGGGTTGAGCAGGATGAAGTTGTCACGTATACGTGACATGAATCGCGTTTTCCTCCTGTACCAGTTGTAGTAAAGGTTTTGTCTGAGTCTGCAAGTGGAGCTGCAAATCACTTTCACCTCACTCTGTCCTGCAGTCTTAGGATCTACCTTCACCTGCAACTCTACACACAGATAATATACCAGAATCTTCAAAATCTTAATTCTTACCTATATCTTATGTAACCAGATAAACTCTGTATAAGTGTAGGAACGTGTGTGTGTTTATTTACCTGTAACAGTCAGATTAACTCCAGATGAAGCTGATATCCAGTCACTGCTTGATGTTCTGAATCTGAAGTTATAAACTCCAGAGTCTCTCACTCTCACATCCCTCACTGTCAGATCACAGTCATTCCACCGTGTACTTACTGAAACTCGTGCTGAGTTATCAGGATCTTTACTCAGGACTTGTTCTTCTCCATCAGAGCTCTGGAGCTGATACCACTCTCTCTCTCTGACTCTGGAATAACTAGGTTTTGTATATTTACAGGAGATTTTTACTGTAGTTCTAGTAAAAGCACAGAGACTCTGAGAGGAGAGAGTTACACTGTAATGAGCCTGAACTCCTGAAACACACACACACACAATGTACAAATACAGATGAGTTAATGCAGTAATCCATCTCTTTATGTAATAGAAAAATGTCATTCCCAAACAAACTGTTAACTGCAGCTGCTGATTTTCCAGTAAATGAAACATTAAACAAAAGAAAAAACAATGAAAAAAGTGTAAAGCAGTAGAACTCTACTAAAAAGTTAAAATGTGTGGTTTAAAGGTACAAAAGGTTGGACCTTGCTATGCATCAAAAGATCTTACATCAATTGCCATTATTAATCAAATCTACACAAATGCAAACAAAAGTTGTTTACTGGCCAGACTGACCCACACTGTACAATTCCTGAAAACATATCAACCGAACACATGCACAAAGAAAAACACTAAGAGTGAAACATCAGTCTAAATATAAAATATTAAAACAAGTTTACCTGCCAGTAACAAGAGGATTGCTGCTACTGATGTATTTCCTGCCATTCTAATCAACATGGCTACACGACCCTTTGAGCACAAATAAAGTGTAGTGATCATTTTATACACATACATGTACACCAGTCAGCCATAACATTAAAACCACCTCCTTGTTTCTACACTATTTGTCCATTTTATCAGCTCCACTTACTACATAGGTGCACCTTGTAGTTCTACAATTACAGACCGTAGTCCATCTGTTTCTCTGTATACTTTGTTAGTATACCTCCTTTTAGTGGTGAAGATCCCCACAGGACCACCACAGAGCAGGTATTATCTGGGTGGGTGATCATTCTCAGCACTGCAGTAACACTGATGTGGTGGTGGTGTGTTAGTGTGTGTTGTGCTAGTGCGAGTGGATCAGACACAGCAGTGCTGCTGGAGCTTTCTCAAACACCTCAGTGTCACTCCTGGACTGAGAATAGTCCACCAACCAAAAATATCCAGCCAACAGCGTCCTGTGGGCAATGTCCTGTGACCGCTAATGAAGGACTAGAGGATGACCGACACAAACTGTGCAGCAACAGATGAGCTAACGTCTCTGACTTTACATCTACATGGTGGAGCAACAAGGTATGTGTGTCTAATAGAGTGGACAGTGAGTGGACACAACACGCACTAACACATTACCACCATGTCAGTGTTACTGTAGTGCTAAAACTGATCCACCACCCAAATAGTACCTCCTCTGTGGTGGTCCATGGGGGTCCTGACCTTTAAAGAACAGGGTTAAAGGGGGCTAAGAAAGTATGCAGAGAAACAGATGGACTACAGTCTGTAACTGTAGAACTACAAAGTGCTCCTGTATGGTACATGATGCTGATAAAATGGACAAAGAATGTAGATACAAGGAGGTGGTTTTAATGTTCTGGCCGATAAATGTATGTTAAATATTTTGAAACGATTATTATTATTTTTATCATTAAATGCAACTCTATATCTGATATCAAAATCCAGATATCACAACCGTTTCAAATGGCCTACTCACATGAGAAAAGTCATTGCTTGTAGAATATTTTTAAAGGAGACAAAAGACAGTGTACTTACATTTCTTTCAGTGAGCACTCATCAGTCTTGTGGTCACAATGGAATGGAAATATCTATTATCAACCTTCTGAAACTTAAGGCGGCTCAGTCACTGATTTCCTTCCTCATTTTTTAAATAAACTGAACAAAAGCTTTGTTTCAAAATGAGTCAGACAAGTCAATAAAGTAATGAAGTTTTCACACTTTAAATGGGCAATAAAGGTTTGTGCAGATGATTGTACATAAATATAACTGTATATATCAGTTTTTCCTCCTCACAAACAGATTGCCAACAATTTTAGATGTGTGAAGTGCACACTGTGAAAAAGTCAATATATTGCTTACTTTTAAAAGATCTTCAAGGAGGTTTAAGATCTTATGAAGTAAACATGTAATTAGTCCAAATTATTGGTCACAGTTTTGCCTGACCTTTGTTACTGCAATATGTTTACTTGGTAAATGCTGCAATGAGGATTCAGCAAACACTGAACGCTGTTCCTGTTAAAAACTTTTGACAAACTCAATTTATTTTCAAAATTTGATAAACTTTAAAAAAACAAAAAAAGTTTTGTTTAATGATATTGCAATGCAGCTTTCATTTTCAAATACCTATCATTACCTCTATGAAACGTGTACAGAACCTCAACATTCAACTTCTGATATTTGCACTGAACAAAATAACAAATTTCCGCCACTAGAGGACCTGCATGAACTATTAAGTGACTTGACGTTTTCCATGCAAAGAAACTTAGTTGTAAATCTGTGCATAATGGCTAGGAATGCACATAGGAAAGAGTTTATCTATAAGCTCTACAATATAAAAGCAGAAATGTATTTACCTGCTTTGGAAATGTTGCACTGTAGAAAGTGAATACTGGTTTAGGCAAATTAGAAAGTGCCAGTATCTGTAATATTTATGCTAACAATATTTCATTACAAGTAACATGGCATGATAATAGTGGTTATTAGACATGCACACCCGTCAGGTTTGAAAAGTACAAGGGAACAAGGTTAGTGAAAAAAATGCAGAAACAGGCTAGATAATTCATAATGTTAAAAACAGCCTGATGCATGTAGCACAGTTACATTTTATGTATCCAGCTTGCTACAGTATTTTCAAGTACATCAAAGAAGAAATAAGAACTGAGTTTGGTAACTTATTGCAGTTGACTAGATTCATGTGAAACTGCACTGAAAAGGAATCAACTAAGAAATGTAACTAACGTTACAAGTGAAGGCAAATTCTTGGAATCATTGAAATCGATATTACAATGAATTAATTAATACATTACTATAAGGCTGCTACAAAATGTATCAGGCTAATAACTGTACTTCATGAACTAAGATGAACTACACTGTGTGTCCACCTGTACACAGGGCCGGATCATGGTCTTAGGCACCAGCATCTTAGCAGGCCCCCCGAACTGTACCGATAACACTAAATAATTTAATAAATACCTGAAAAGTGAGATTAAACAATAGTTATTAGCCTTACTAGAGATTAATTTGCAATTTTCTATTGTGTCTACATTGTAACAGTTTCTGGTTTTTATGTAAGGTTTCTGTACCTCAAGATGAACTTAAATTAAAACTTCTTTATTTTCCTTCAGGCTAAACTGAGTCATAATGCGGAAACAGAAATATTCATACACACACAAAATAGTAAATAGCAGCAACCAAAGGAGAGAATATATATATATATTAGTAGAACTCTACTAAAAAGTTAAAATGTGGTTTAAATGTACAAAAGGTTGGACTTGGATCTTAAATTAATTGCCATTATTAATCAAATCTACACAAATGCAAACAAAGGTTAGAGTTGTTTAACACATGCACAAAGAAAAACACTAAGAGCGGGTGGGTGATCATTCTCAGCACTGCAGTGACACTGATGTGGTGGTGGCGTGTTAGTATGTGTTGTACTAGTGTGAGTGGATCAGACACAGCAGTGCTGCTGGAGCTTTCTTAAACACCTCAGTGTCACTCCTGGACTGAGAATAGTCCACCAACCAAAAATATCCAGCCAATGTGTGTCTAATAGAGTGGACAGTGAGTGGACACAACACACATCAACACATCACCACCATGTCAGTGTTACTGTAGTGCTGAGAATGATGCACCACCCAAATAATACCTGCTCTGTGGTGGTCCTGTAGGGGTCCTGACCTTTAAAGAACAGGGTTAAAGGGGGCTGAGAAAGTATGCAGAAAAACAGATGGACTACAGTCTGTAACTGTAGAACTACAAAGTGCTCCTGTATGGTACATGATGCTGATAAAAGGGACAAAGAGTGTAGATACAAAGAGGTGGTTTTAATGTAGCTGCTGATCCTGGATAGTCAACTGGATATTGTTCATGACTATTTTTTTCTGGAACCTGCATGAAATCCTTTTTAATGACTGTGTTAATCTGACATTTAGATCTAGCAAATTAATCCTGCTATTGACTATATTAATCTTTGACAGCCAGTTAATCCTACTACTGACTGTATTGATCGTGGATAGTCAATCCAGTTAATGACTGTAATGATCCTGGATAATCAATTAATCTAGTTCATGACTGTATTAATCTTGGATAGTCATTTAATCTTATGACAGACTCCATTGATCCTGGATAAACATTTAATCCAGTTCATGACTGCATTGATCCTGGATAGTCATTCAATCCTGCATAGATTCTGGATACTAAGTAAATCCAGTATCTGACTGCACTGATCCTGGATAATAACTTAATCCACTTCATGACTTTATTGGTCCTGTATAGTTAATCCAGTTAATGACTCTATTGATCCTGGATAGTCAGTTAATCTAGTTCATGACTGTATTAATCTTGGATAGCCAGTTAATTGTATTATAGCCTGCATTGATCCTGGATGAACATTTAATACAGTTCATGACTATCTTGATCCTGGATAGTCATTCAATCCTTTTCATGACTGCATTGATCCAGGAGAGTCATTCAATCCAGCTCAAGACTGCATTGTTCCTGGAACATCAGTAAATCCAGTATCTGACTGTACTGATCATAGATTAATCTAGTTCATGACTGCATTGATCTTGGATGGCCTGTTAATTCACTTACTGACTGTATTGATCCTAGGTCATCACTTAATCCAGTTCTTGACTTTATTGATCCTAGATAGTCAGTTAATACATTTCAAGACTGTATTAATCCTGGATAGTCAGTTTATCCTGTTTGTGACTGCATCCATCCCTGGATAGTTAGTTAATCCAGTTCATGACTGTATTGATCCTGGATAGGTAATTAATCCAGTTCATGACTGTATTGATCCTGGATAATCAATTAATCTAGTTCATGACTGTGTTTATCCCTGGATAATCAAGTAATATAGTTCATGACTGTATTGGATAGTTAGTTAATTCAGTTCATAATCCAGTTCATAACTGTATTGATCCTGCATAGCCTATTATTCTATTATTGACTGAATTGATCCCAGAGAGTCAAGTGATCCTGTTCATGACTCTAATGATCCCAGACAGTCAGTTAATCCTGTTCATGAATGAATATATCCTGGATAGTCAGTTAACCTAGTTATTGACTGTATTGATTCTGGATAATCAGTCATTCCAGTTTCTGACTAAACCGTTCCTGGATAGTCAGTTAATCCAGTTCATGACTGTATTGATCCTAGATAGATAGTTAGACATACTATAGACCGTATTGATCTTGGATAACTAGTTAACGAAGTTCATGACCTAATTGATCCTGGGTAGCCAGTTAATCCCGTTTATGACTGTGTTCACTTGTTTGGTTTGGCCATTATGTAAGCATTACCTATAAAATTCCAGAAGATGTGTTCACTTGTTTGGATTGTAAATAATATGACTATATTCTACCTTGTAGACCTTGTGACCCCTGGTTCTTGTCACCACAGCTGTAAAGAAATCTGAGTCTGTAAGTTTCTATACACTGAACAATATTACATCAAACCACTCTGAATCCACTGAAATATGCATTTTAAGTGAGCCAGATTTCTTTGTTATAAACTTAAAGTCTGTTAATTATTATTTTTAATTTTATAAAGACATTTGTCCGTGCATGGTTCGTCACCATTATTCTGTGTAGTGATTTGTTTTTAATTATTAATCATTCAATATTATCAAGTTGCAATTCCATTAATCATTCAATATTATCAAATTGTAATTCCATGTGTGTTTCTTATATTGAATCATTAATTTAAAGATTTTTAATTTTAAAATAATTTTTTCAGTTGATCAAGTGATTACTGAGTGGAATGAATGGTGACTTAATTTATTGCATTTACTGAATGATTCATAATAGGTTCTGAATTCAAAGTAGCTACTGAAAAATTCATACTATAATGCAAAAGTTTGGGTGCAAGTACAGTAAACTCAGCAAATAAATAGAAATGAAGCTCTAAAACTTTTGTTCCCTGTAGAAGATGTGTTTTATTGTGTCTTATTTTCACTTAGAAAATCAACAAAACCTCATCTGAACAGGAGTATTCAAACTTTTGCACATGCCTGAATCATGTTATCATGTACATAATATACAGTGCAATGTCAAATATTAATTATAACAGTGTGTCCATTAAAGTGCACCTAGGAACATGCAAAAGACACTGGAGTATGTTTTATTGCTCTTAGTTAGCATAAGGATTAAAAATACATCACACAGATATCTTACACTGCGATCTCTTACCATACTGTCAGTGTCTAAAGCATTTAGCTGAATAAATATATTGAAAATCTTTTGATAATTTCATTCATAGTTGACAGAGATATATGTGAAATCAATGCTCTCCTTTGTTGGTACCATGTTCTTCAGGTATGTTTAATTTTATGAGATACACACATAAAAGTTTTTCACAACATGTGTAGATCTGATTGTTGTAGTATTTTATAAAAAGAAATGCAAACATAGCTGATCAAGTCCGGTTCAGGAGTCAGTGGAGGCTCTAGAAAAGCAACAATAGAGTTCTTCAGAAGAATATAAGCCTACTTTACACATTTCTCAATTTTTTTACTTTTTAAAAACAGTTTTTTAACAAATTAAAAACGGACAAACAAAA